AGATAAGATAAGATAAGATAAGATAAGATAAGATAAGATAAGATAAAACTTTTTTGATCCCACAGTGGGGGAATTTGCACATTAGTGATACAGGAGAGGCTGAGAAGAATAAAGAAAGATAAATAAAAGATAAACAAAAACAACCCCACAATATAAACATGTGATATATAGTTATGTGCATATACCAATACACATATACACATATACATAAACACATATGCATATTTATATACATATATACACCGTTAAGTACAGTACAAAATGTCAGCGCCATGAATGAAAACTACCTTCACTACAGCCCTTTTATATTGGTGGGCCAAATCAAATGGCTTGGTGGGCCAAATTTGGCCCGCAGGCCCCACTTTGGGCTCCTATGATCCAGAGGACCTACTTATTTTTTTCTTTTTGAATGAGAGTGGTGAATTTACCAGTAACTTGCTTGTTGGAAGGCGTTGACCCCGGCTGGTTGTGTTTGAACAGAAAGCTACCTCGCTGGACGTCGGCAGGGATRAAAAGGGTCAAACGCGTGAATCTTATTTTGATTTATTTGCGACACAACAATAATGAACTCCACCAAACCCGAAGGAACAGAACTGAAGACTATCAGAACATTCAGCAATGAGGCTAATGACGAGAGAACAGGATGACAGAGGACGGTAAGCTAATGTTAGCTTGTTGTTGGTAACTTGCTGCAGATGTTGTACATTTGAACTCAAGTGAAGAAAAAATGTTTCAGACACATAAAGTTACTCTCACCTGTCTTTCTTTGTTAATTAAAGTTATTTGACATCCCAGACATGAGATATCTCTGTTTTTTTGTGTGTTATTCCAGATTAAATGTCTGTCCTGCGACTTATAGTCAGATGTGATTTACTTATGTTTTTCTCCTCTTCATGATGCATGTTTCGACTGTTGCAACTTATACACTGAAGCAACTCAGATATGGTACTGGAATACATTTTCTAAATGAAGTCAGACAAATTCAGAACAATTTCTTAGATAGTTATCTGTCAATGATGTGGATTTTAGGCAGGTGATGTTTTCTTCTTATACTTCTATGCAGGCGTTAATCAGTCGTATGTAGTAGTCAGTCGCAAACGTTTCGGCTCCAAGAGKMGGCTCTTTGAAGTGAACGACGGGAGCCGGCTCCCCACTGAGAGCCGTTCTCGTTTTTTTTTTCTGTCTGTGAAAGCCATGGGCATAACGAATGCAGGGTACACATGGGCCATGTCCCCTGCACTTTCTGTATCTGTGCCCTCTGTCCCTGACATTTTTTTTCATCCATTACATCTGTTTAATCCATTATTAAAAAGCAATAATGTGTTTTTCCGAGCCGTCTTTAATGCAACATAAGCTAACACTGGTGTACACCTGTGGATCACAGAGGGGAGACGTGCTGCTGCAGAGCAGTCAGAAACCAGCTAGAGCCAAAAAAAAAAAACTTTGAAGTTTTTTTTTCCAAACAAACCATGTAAGTTGAGTCGTGCTGTTGGAGGCAGATAATGTTAGCTAAATGATTGAGTTAATACATACCAATATAAATAGTTCACAAGAATACACTYCTATTGTTGTTACATATATTACATACCTTGCTAGTTAATGCTATGAGATAAACKCAATCCTTTTAAGTTTCTGTGCAAAGGTTGTGTTTGTGTACTTTCCACATATTTAAAATAAATCTTTACTGTCACAACAGAAGGAGCAAAGTCAGGGAAGAGACATTAAAGSGACCATGATGATGCAGTCTTCTCAAGTAAGGACAGATTAGGACTTTTTCACAGATATTTCAGGATTACTCGTATTCACATTCCAAAAATATGTATTTTTTTATTTTGTTTTTGTTTCTACTTAGGTCCAAAATAAAAATGGATCTGATAATATTTTG